TACTTGTCTACTACATATGGCGTATTCAAACATTCGCACATGTGCGCATATCTACTTGCCAAAGTTATACCGAATCTTTTGTGGTGGCGATTCGTATGGCTTAGTGAGCACATACCATTTCAGGTTTTGTGCTACATTTGCTTTGCCTTTGCCTCTTGTGTTTCCAAGTACGGCCGTGACCGACAGTGTCCGCACTGTCGATGCTGTAAGGAACACATGATAGAAGCAGTTTTCTTGATTTCCCTTCCTGTCTGGAATTTTTTGTGGTAGTGGTGGTGATGATGGCAGTCGTGGCCGCTTGGATACAAATTTGTAGGCAAATAGCCATACATATCTACATACCTACATATATGTACATATGTATGTAGGTATAGTAGTTGATTGGGATTGTTGATTTTCTATTGCTATACCGGCAATTTTGGGACAACAGCCGTTTGTGTTATGCGATTTTTCTGCCAAGCCTCTCACTATTGTTTTTTTATGTTACATTGTTATCTTTCACCACAAATCGTAAATGATGTGTTGGAAAGTACAGTCGCTACCATGGTGGAATTGCGGCAAACGTAGATCATGGGCCAGATGCCTATTTACCTACCAATGCAGTGCTGTGCATTGCAAATTATTTTCGCCTTAATGCGTAACATATGTGTATGAGTATATACTTACTATGTATAGATGTGTATCTACGTCTGTATGAATGTGTATACCTTACTACATTTATATGGGCAACATACATAGTTTTTGTATGTGTGTACATACGTATGTACATATGCATTTTAACATACTGGAAATGCATCGGCGTGCTCGTGCCCATGCATTGCAGCAGCTGCTGCTTTCACTGCCGACACAGAGTTGTTACTATCATATTGCTGGCACTCTGCAAGCTGATTTCAAGGTCAAGGTCAAGTCGTGAAAGAAGCGCAAGCGCAGCTCGATACTAAAAGCCTTTTAATGCAGACATTTGAACAAAATTTTTATTTCAAATCCAAATTTTAATATCAGCCTTATTTTTAAATGGTTAGCTATTTAGAATGTATTCTGTTATCCGAATCATAAATATTCCCGAGGAAATTGTTGCTCCCGTATTTATTTTTTCCCAAGAAAAAAATTCTACAATTCAAGCTTCAAAGAGCATTTTTATTATGAAACCGGTAGTACGAAATTCGATAATGAATTCGCAACATATGTATACTTTTAGGCCCTTTCTTTTTTGCTTGTTTCTGTAGATAGCTCGATTTGTGAGACAGCATCAATACTCACATCACCAAGAGGGGAGAAGCTTTGGCAAATAAATACATAAAGTTGTGGAAAAATACGACATTTTAACAAATTTTTCCTTTTTTACCGACTTCACAAAAAGGAGAGGGTTATCAATTCTTCGGAATATATACACTACCGGAAAAAATTATTGGCATAGCAAATTTCTCACAATATATGCAACAATTTTCCTTTTCATATTTTTCCACTAATTTCGTATAAAAATATGGTTCATTCTACAACAAGAAACATAAAAATATAATTCCTAAACATTGTGCAAAGCTCGCGAAAATTCAGCAAATTTTCATAAAAATATTCAACTTTTTAATCAGATTTTTTGGAATTTTTTTTTGAGTATGCAGATTTGTAGCCCAATCATTTTTTTATAACAAACTGCAAGTTTTAAGTAGCTGGGAATTACCGTTGATTTTTGACAATTTTTTTGCACGCGGTCTCCATACAAAAATTTTTTTTTGACAATACTTTATATGGAAAAAATGCAAAACACCTTCAACAAAAAAAAAAATGCTCAAAAATCAACGCGATTTTTGACTAGCTCCAAACTTGGATTTTTTACTAGAATTTAATGGGCTGCAAAACTGCATACTCAAAAAAAATAATAAAAAATCACAACACACGACAAACATTTTTATTATCTCCTTGTAGAGACAAGTTCAAGTTTTGCAAAAGTTCCTCATATCGGTAAAGAACATTAAGGGCCGGTTGTTCAATGTCTGGTTATCACTACCACTACACTATCGACGATTTCGACATCATGCATGTAACATGTGATCGATAAAGCTGTCGTTGTACTTAACCGGAGCTTCTACCTCCGATTTGTGCTAATTAGACATTGAACAACCGGCTTTTAAAACGCAACATTTAGCACTTTTGAACATAAGCTTTCGAAGAGCGTTCATGCCATCGCATTTAGCAAATGTACATTTACGCGAGTTCGAAATCTTATGCTTTTGACAAACAGCCGTGTTCCAGTCGCTTATTCAGACCCGTATCTATTCGGACCGGATAAATGTTTCCATATAAGGCATGCATACTTTTATATGGAAGAAAATACGCAACACCCTCGACAAAAAAATCTAAAAAATCTGCAGTAATTTTTAGCTACTTCAAACTTGCACTGTACTATACCAAAATTGAACGGGCTAAAAAACAACGTACCGAAATTTTTTATTGAAATTCTGAATAAAAAGTTTGAAATTTTGATGAAAATTTTTTTAAGTTTGATTGATTTTTATGAATTTTGTACAGAATTTACAAGAATGATTTATATGGTTTTCGTTATACAATGAGCTATATTTTAAATGAAAATTAACGAAAAAGATTTATGATGGAAAACATTTTGAATATTGTGAAAAAACTTAATTACGAATGCTGTGTATGGCTCCTAACTTTAGGTAAATTAAGTCTAGGCTAACTGAGCCTTTACAAGCAAATTTTCTTGCATTTAAATTGGAAAAAAGCCATTTTATTTAATTTCCAATAATTCACAGCAAGTTTAAAATTAAAAAAAAAAACAATCAAATTTTATGCAGTTTCGTAGTCGATTGAATTTTATTACAATAAAGTGCAAACTTGAAGTAGTTACATATAAAATTGTGGCATTTTGATGAAACTTTGTTAATTTTCAAAATGTTTGCTAAAAGTTTGCGTTTAGATTTTTATAGTTTTTTGCTGGATGATGAGCTATATTTTTATAAAAATTTAAAGAAAAATATCGAGGGCTTATATTCAATACCCTCTATCAGCACTTTTCACCAAAATGAGATTCTGATATAAAAATTCACCTAAGAGTTAACTGTCATCGGTTATATTAATGCTGACCTTGTATAATGCTTGATAGAAGAATTTACTATTAAATTGCAAGAATTTATATCACTGATAACAGGTAAGCCCCAGATGGGTTCTAACATCTTAAAGTAGTTTTTGTGAAAGGGTATTTGAATATAAGGCCTCGATATACTGTATTATTTTGAGCGTGAGCATGGGCGTAGCCAGGTAGGGGCAGGGGGTGCTCGAGCCCCCCCTAACTTTCAAATTTTCCTGAAATGCCAGCTTAATAGGGTCGAGCGGCCATTCGGATTCGAATACTTGGCACTATGAATTTGTATTAGTCCGAGTCGCCTTTCGAATCGCTATATAGAGTATATCCCCTGAACTCTTCGTGCCGTCAAAATGATAACTTTCGGCGTTGCCAACATTAATGACATTTAATTCGTAGCTAGAAATTTCAAGAAGGAATGGACCTCAGGCTCGGTTAACGTACTTCCGGTCGAAATCGGAAATTCGTAATAGCGGCAAAAGATAGAGCATCCCTGACTTGGTTATTCAAATTTTTCCGCTTTCCAATAAAAACATATTCGTCTATTTTAGAAGTCCAGTACGATTTGAAGTTCGAAGGTCATTTAGGTCCCATAAAAAGCTTCAAACAAAAGTTACGTATTTTTATAAGGATGCGAATCTGTGGTAAAAGCATATATGTACATACATATCGTCCCGTTTCTGCCTTAACCACGTATCTACAATTTTTGGGAAAACTAATATTACCACTTGAAACAGCTGCTTAAGCGTCACACTATTTGAAAATAGAACAAAGACTTAATGAGGGTTCTCACTATTGTTAGTGGAACCAGAAATATTAAGTAAAAAATGCGTTTATTGTATCCTAGCGGAAGAAATTAAGCATTTTTTCTTACACTCCCTAAAATACCTCTATTGCAGATACGAGGTTAAGGCAGAAACAACATTTCCTCAATTTTAAAAGGAGGTAGACGAATGGTGATATTGTACAAGAACCTATAACACTGCTTTACACGTAAGCTACTATTTTTTACGCCACTTTGCAGAAAAACAAATCAACACGGTTCCGGTACTAAGGTAGCCGTGCGAGCGAGCAACTGCCAGGTTTTCAAACCTTTTATTTTTGAATCATGAAAGTTGAGTTAACTCAAAAGAGTTTAGAATTTTTCTCAGTTGCTTTCGCACTACTCGAGAAACACAACAACAACTACATAGAAGAAAAACTCTGAACTAGAACAAAACTAACAAAAAAAAAGGTTAGCATGTGAAACATTGCGAATATTAACAAATAGCCGTACGCTCATTTTAGGAGTAACTGTATGTATAAGACCGTTATTTGTTTGCGCTTAGAACTGTCTTGAGAAATTTTGTACATATTTCAAAAACATGAATTTTAAAAAATTATCAGCGCTCAGATATAAAAATGTCCTAAGTATATTTTCTTTAGTTCTAAGATGGCTAGACGGCCGCCGTAACCAAGTGGTTATAGGTGTGTACTTCCACCCGGTTTGATTCCTAATCCGAGAAGCATCCAAAAATAACTTTTTCTATTTAATAGCGGTCGCCCCAGTAAGCTAACTTCTCAATGTGTAAGCATTCCGAAATCAAAGCGAGACAGTCTAGAACCGTTTTTGTTAATGTATTGTGTACTTGAGTGCCGTTTTTGTATATGTGTTGTGTACATGTTTATTTATAAACGTATGTGTTCCTTTTCTTTCGTACGTGTTTATTGATATATCTGTACTGTAGTGTTTTCGGACGGTACTAGCTCTTACTGCCAATATAGGAGTATTACATATATGCCCTCGACAGACAAATTTCTTGAATGTATTATATTTCTCCCATGAGAAGGCTTCTCAAGGCACGATCTAAATTTTTTAATGGCAATAATTTAAACAACCTTTTAATTTACATAAACACAAAAGGAAACTCAATATATGAATTTATTTATCGATTTAATAAGTTAGTAACTATTTTCATTATATTGCATTTATGTATATAGGTATGTATACAAACGTGTTCGAATATTTGAATATACTAGTTGTATTCATATTCAGGCGGGGAAATAGAAACAAAAATTGTAATATGTATAAAATACGCTTAACTAATGAGTTGACATTACAATAACTAAGGTTTGTATGTATGTATGTACGTACGTAAGTAATTAATTCATTTAACATAATTCAAACTAATAGTTGAGCACCTCTGTTCACAATTTTGTAGTTCCTCCAGTATTTGCGCTAAGACCAAAAAATCGAACCAATTATGTATTATTGTTTGTGTTATTTCTGCGGTGCTTTGTGGCAAATTATATTTTTCAAAATGAACCTAAATAATTGCAATTAAATATAATCGATGCAGTTTTTGTTATTACAAAAATATTAGTAACAAAAAAAGAACCTGCACTCAGCTGATGGTGGAATTCATAACTGATAGAATCCACATAAGCCTTATCACATTGGCCACGTACAGAGATCCGCCTTCACAGCATACAATGAAAAAAAAAACTAGATGGAAGAGTAACATCCTTCTCTGCATTCTTTTTACAGTCACATTTACATCTTTGATATTTTAAATAGTAACGCTTCGGGCGATAGGTAGGGGTGGAGCTTTGAGTAACAGTCATAATACTTATACGTTATATAAAAAAAATATCGACCACTATTAGATCAATAAATCTTCCCAGAGCACACAGTTAAATAATGATGTGGCTAACAAACATCTGGTAATTTTTAAAGCAATTCACTTTTCCTTCGAGTAGAGTTTGGCTGCTACCTTTAAGCGTTTCATTAACTAAACCGTTGCTCCTTTTTTCTTTTGCTATTCGATGAGTATTTGAAATTTGGTTGCATTGCTTTCGAATTGGCCGCCTTTTTCGCCTACTTATCCAACTTACTACGCGTTTTGGACGTGGCTACATTTACTTTCTCAGACTTTTTAGTGCGTGGAAGCGTAGTGTAGCTAGCCGAAATGACCTGCAATAAATGAAGCAAAATAATTTGATTAACGCATTATTAAAATAATTGTAAATAGGTATAAGATATGAGCCGAAGGCGGCGCAACAATATGCATTTGCATGCTCAGTAGTAGGAATACTTAAGTGGGGGCTACTAAGTCTATACAGTTGGTATGCGCAAATTGGCTAAAACTGACACTATAAGGCGCTGGAACATTTCGGTTAGTTAAGCCAGTAGAACAAGAACAAGTAGATATGCAGGTTTATTATGTGTACTTAGAAATGCATGTGTGAACTTAAATAAACGAAAGGGTATTCCAGATTGCGATATACTAATTTACTTTCCTGTAAGCAGACGTTTATTACAGTATGCAGAATGCGCTCACACATCCACAGTAATAAGTACAGCATAGCATTTATGAATGTGCCAGGTATATGGGTATGTATGAACAAAATGCCATGAGTAAAAAATAGTATGCATTTACAAATATTTATGCAACGAAAACCCAGTAAAGCAGACAAACTTTTAGCCCAACTGAAATCAGGTGCAACAAGAAGCCATACAAAGCGGAAATGGTAAACTGTAGAACAGCTGCACATTACGGATTCCAACGAACATTACAACAAACATTTTCTTTTTTTTTTCTTCTTACATTTCCAAAGATAAATTTGTTGTATTTACTACAATTTTATACAAATTTCGAATTGCTCTCATAGCAGTTGAACTATATTTGTGTTTCGTATGGCGGTGTATCACGTGTAGGCTTTTCAACATTCCCGTCGCCTTGTTTGTCACTCAAACTACTGTTGCTGGTGAAACGAAAAAGATTTGTTTTTAAATTTCTAAAGATACTCCTCTGTGGCACTGGTGAAGAACTGCGCGACGATATGCTGATGCTATCTAAGGTATTGCTTGATGATGCAATGTTGCTGATGGCTTTGCCACTGATTGTTGCTGGACGTGTGGGACGTGGTGGTAATGGCGGTGCTGGTGCTTTGCCTTTGTTGTGCGTTAAAGGGCGTGTAGTTAATAGTTTATTACTGCTCCTACTACTACTGGTACCAGGTGTTATTGTTAGCGCTGTCGTTGTTGCAATAGTAGCGCGAAAATTGTCTTTTATTTCCTTTAAAGTGTCTTGAAGCTCCTTAGCGCTAACTTTCGGCTTCTCAGATTTATTCTTGTCTAGTTGTATGGGTGTTGAGGTGTCTGTATCAGTTAACTGGGTTTCAATGGGGTCAATTGGAGTTTTTTCTTGCATACACGCGGTGGTGTGTTCTTGCACAGTTATATTTTCTGCTTGCTGCTTCTCCAACTGCTGTTCCTCTAAATCTTCAAAAGTTTCATCCTCGGCTAATGATGGTAATGCGTCTGAAAACCAATCGCTTTCATTGTCCTCATCGCTGCTTGCAAGTGTGTTATAGGTATCAGTATTGCTACAAATAGAATTGTTATCCTTGAAACTTATTTCGTCCGGTAAAGGTACTTCATGGATTGCTGCAGCTGGTTCGTTAGTTGAAAACGTTGCTTCTTCTTCCTTGTCCTGCTGCTGCTCTAGGTGGTCGCTGTACGGCGGTTGTTCTGCGGATTGTATGCCTCCTCCGAAATCCTTTAAATTATCTACATTTTTCAATATACGACTACTTTCCATATCATTGTTTTCCTCGATCGGTAGCATTTTTTCATTCGGCCGTTTTGTTTCAGCGAAAGCTTCATCAACTTTGTCTTGAAATGCTACTTGTGACGTGTCTTCTAAAATATGTATGCACTGCTGTACATCGAATAGTGTAGGGTTCTGTAAGTTTTCAGAACTTTCCAACAGAACTTCATTTTCTAAAGAACCGAACCCACCACCTGGCGCAAGTAATGTACTCTGCGCAAAGATATTTTGCTCTAATTGCCTGTACTGTTTGGGTTCATTTAAATTCTATACAGGATGGGGTTTAAATAAAGAATGATTCAAAAATAAATGATAATAAAATTAAAATTAGTAAAACTTAATTCATAAAAAATATGCATCGCAAAACAATTCAAGCGTGCAAATGCAAATTAAATACCATACAATTAAAAATCAACACTCTTACTTGAGACTTCGGGACTAGGATAGTTTCAATATTTTTCAATCCCTTCAGAATATATACAGGGTGTCCTAGAGCACTCGTCCACCCTCTAAAATGGAGGAATGTTTTTTATTAAATAACGCAAAAATATGACCCACCAAATCGGGGATGCTCTATCTATTGGTGGCATTACCGACGTCCATTTTTGATATATTAAAATTGTTACCACAAATTCGATTTCTGAGAATACAAATACATACGTAAGTTTTGTTTAAATTTTTTTTCTCGGCAGTGCCTTTTACAACCTCTAAGTGACCTTCGAACTTCAACCTGTCCTGGACTTCTGAAATGGACGAAAATGTGCTTATTGAAAAACGAAAAATATTAATCACCAAGTCGGGGATGCTCTACTTTTTGGTCGTGGGTCAAACTGACCGGAAGTAAATTTTTTTACATAGGGCATCTATACGTACATGTTTTTACCACAGATACGGATTCTGCGGACAAAAATACATATATTTTGTCGGAAATGCTTTCCGGATAAAATAATACACTTCCCGTCTATTAAACCCACTTCCGCTTGAAACCGGAAGTCTGTAATACGACCAAAACATAGAGCATCCTCGACTTGGTAATTCATATTTTTTCGTTTTCCAATAACAACATTTTCACTAATTTGAAGCTCGAAGGTAATCTAGCGGTTAAAAAGGCACTTCCGAGAAAAGGTTTCAAACAAAAGATAAGTATTTTTATCTTCAGAATCCGAATCTGTAGTAAAAACATGTATGTCTAGTTTAAAAAATGGACTTCCGGTCAGTTTAACCTACTTCTGGTTGAAAGCTGAAGTCGGTAATACCACCAAATGATAGAGCATCCGCGATTTGGTAGGTAACATTTTTGCGTCATTCAAAAAAAAAAAAATTCCTCCATTTTAGAGGGGGAGGGTGGTCTAGGACACTCTGTATAAAGCTTTTTCTGCTCAAGATTTGGTTTAAAAATTCTTGTGTGTTATTAATTATAATTTATAATGATTGAGAATTAAGGTCTAAGTATTACCGATATTTTGGCGCAAAGTTACTATTTGTGTGAGGTACGAGGGTATTAAATCAGTGACTTTTTGCATCTCCATTGTTGAAACTTTAAATGCTCTCTGCGCCACTCCTGTCAATTACCAATCTATTAACAATACTACCTAATTTTGAACAAGCTGCGAATTTCAAGGCTCGCTTCATCTCATCATTTAAGTTAAGACTGCCTCGCCACAACGTGTGTTCACAAACTACACTGCGTTCCGTACCGTTGCCGGAAAACCTCCTACCAAATAATTTCCTGGAACCAGAAGCAATGCAAAGTAAACCACAGCTCGTTACACTAAATGCAACAACTTGTTATACTCTATTTTGGAACCCGCCTCTATTTTCGATAGAAAACCTACAGCAGGGAGACCAATCCACCGCCTCCTAAGAGCTGCAAACTCAAAGCGGCTATGTTCCAATCTCCTCATTCATTCCGAATAGCCTTTAAATTTTATCATTTTTCAGAGACAACTTAAAGGCTTGTGAAATCAACAAACAGTGTCCTGCTAGTAGACCAACTAGATGCCTAGTGTTCTCCCTCTTAAGAAATTAAAAAAAAATTGTGAATCTCACATAATACTAGACACCTTGCAGCCGGGTATGTGTTTTAGTATACAGGTCAAGACTCCGCTTTATGGCTTGTCGAGACTTTTGAAAAGCTTCTATTGACACGATTTGCGAAAGAACGCTCTCCTTGGCAATTCTGTGGATCTTTGTTGCCAGTAATGCTTGTGTGCCCCGAAATCTAGTACAAATGCAATACCGTATCAATGTATGTACATATAATTCAGCCATGACTACTCTGCACTCGTATCACACCTCTAATAATAATACTGCCTTTATCGCATCCTAACTTTTAGTATCGAGATCCACTCGTCTACGTGTATGTATATATGGTTACTGCTGAATAGTTTTGCTGCGCTTTTTATGACTAAAGCCTATTTTTGGACTTATTAAACTACCAGATTCATCCCCTTCGACAGCAGTAATCTGCTCAATACTATTGAGTCAATAGTGGCTTGACACTACAGGTTCGGGATCATCATGTAGTCGATCTGTCCAGAGAGTGTCGACGCTAGAACACTGTGGCCATTGACGTTTTTATCCATGCGAACTGTCCAGTAGATCGAATACTACTGCTTGAATTGATTTTAACAATTTAGAGAAATAGAGGTAGTTTTTTTTCAAAATTCGTTTCCCAGTAGCTTATGTTAGAAAAGACACCGGCGTAGTCAAATGTTTTATTTTATCTGATGAAACAAAAGTTCATTACTTCTCACCGAACGAGATAGTTTTGCAGATGTAGCTCATCTTGAAGATATTTTAAATAAAAATTAAAAATATTACCCAAAGTGGAATTATCATGTTTTGATTAGAACCTCCTCATATTTGCTGCCTCATTGGAAATTAATGGAGTGTGTGTGACATTTGTATTGATCTCGAGTTCTTTCATAATGAGCCACGCCTTTTGGTTTTCTAATTAGCAAAAGTACATTGAACTTAACTACACACCCATCGACTACTAGCTACTTATTTGTTTCGCTACATACGCAGTACTAGCAATAAAGCATAAATATTACCTCTGTACGTCTGGCTTTCAAGCGTGTTTTTGTAGCATTTGTCATCGAAGATGTTCTACTCAAAGCAGCAGATACCGGCTCCGCGCTGGAATAACCCGAACTAATGTCTTCCGATGATCTTATATTGTAGCTACAACATAAAAAAGGTGGAAAAGCATACCATACATCACCATTATACGCAATTGTGTTCATAGATATAAATATGCGTCACAAAGTATGAACTTACTTAAAACCATCCGCACCCTTAGCAACATCCACCTCAGAGAAATACATGCCGGTTGAATGGCGCGTACCAGACGCTGAACGCGCAATGCCAGCTTGTGTGCGGGGTCGCAGCATACGTTGCTGTGGACGCATTTGCACCACATCGTCAATCTGTATGCATGTAGGTATATTTTTAAGTACATATATGCATATATGCAAGAAGAAGAAATAATTAATAACAATGGCTTGCTGGCAAGGGTGTATTTGTTATACATTTCATTTCATTTCATTTCATATGAAACTTTTTTTCTTTTCTTTGTCTCGTTGAACTTACCTCGTCCTGTGTGCGATGTACATCTGGTTCGGAGAGATCACTTAAACTGTAGCTGCGTCGTATGGTTTGCACAAGATTCCCACCACCCTATTGTGTATGCATATGCATGTAAATATGTATGCGCACAACAAAGAAAATTTAGCAGACAAATATTTATTTAACTATGTATCTTTGTAGGCTTTGTATGAATTTAAATATTGTTAATGACAAAGATGATCTTTTGTGATGTGACGATAAATAATTTGAGGGTTTTTAAAATAATACAAGTATTAATATCAAAATTGAATACAAAAAAGTAGCATATATTAAAAATTAATTATAAAAGTACAAACTAAAAGTGTTATAACACTAATACAAGCAGTATGATTAATTAGCATTACTATTATTTTAATCATTATTTTCAATTGTGGCGATTCGAGGTTGTTGCTGGCTGACAAACGTTGCTATCGTCTGCTTGGAGATCATACATAAACATACATTAATTTTTAACATCTATTGAGCCAATCGTCTTTCACATTTTCTACATCTTATTTCCGCCAACTATTCGATGTCCAAATCTATATCTGGTGTGTTATCGCGCAATCTGCGACGTCCACGTATACCCCCTCCTCCCATGGATTTTGTATTCGATTTACTTTGCTTTGTCTCGCGTGCTGTTGCTTTTCGTGCTCTCGTCTTGCGTGCGGGCAGTTCACGTGAACGTGCTGCACCCTTTTCGGTCTCCATCTCATTCCATTCTATTAGCTCTTTTTCGATTAGCATCTGCTGTTCATGCCGGACCATAGCTGCGATCGGCATTAACTCTAATTGTTCATCGTCTTCCGAAAACTCCAATTGTGCGGCATTTAAATGACCTAATGAGGCGGAACGTTGCATCCAATTGGCATCAACAATGCAATCTGGGTCATCTCGTCCGACTTGCGAACTACGGTACCTGTGTATTTCATTGTCCGACTGGGAGGAGCTCAATTGTGTTGGACGTTGATTGCCGTTGCCGATCGTGTCCATGCCGAATTGCACTGTCTGTTAATGGTGTGCGTGAATGGACGCATGCAAGCATCGGCAGCAGCAAGCGGCAACGTGCGAATTGTGTCGCAGAGGATGTATGCGTGTGTTTGTGTGTGGGGGTGTTGTGTTAGATTGTGTTAGATGATGCGTGCAGCGTTATATAGGAACCAAAGGAAAAGAAAAACAAATATTATTGAAATTAAAATAAATTAAAAAGGCAGATCTTCTTTAAAAAAAAAGAGGTTTAAGGGCCCTTTTCTGATGTAACTTTTAACTTTAAAGCTCATTTTATATTTAAAGTAAGGATTAAAAATAAAGCTATGTCTAACGTTAAGCATTTCTATTATCGGTTTTTGGCGTATGTATGTATGTTTATTGATTGTAAGCCAATTTAAAACGGAAAATAAAATGTTTTACTTTAGACACAATCACAAGTTTTAATGCAACCTTTAAGTTTAAAATGAGCTTTAAAGTTTCAGGTTACTTGAGAAAACGGCCCTAAATATATATTAGACCAATAGCTTAGTTTGAAATAATTAAATTAATTGCTAACGAAATTGAAATGGAAAATGTAGTTCTGTTGCATTTGCGATAAAAAATCAAACGACACTTAGGATGAGAATAATGCATTTATTTGATAAAGTATACAAAAATTTCAATGAAATAAACCACAAATGAAACAGATTTACGAAATTAATAAACTATATCCATACATAGATTGGCTAGCTCAGATGCAGATGATCAAGTAATGCGAGCAGTAGTGTCAAACGCATAAATGAACATTTTTAAATCTAAATTTAAATAAATGTAAATTAAAAGCTAATAAAGTGTATACAGATTGATTGCTTCAAGTTATGTCGTTGCGCAAATGCTCCTCAGTCGACTAACTGCATCCGTGGTAGCAAATAATAGGCGGCTTATAACGAATAATTTTTATTTTATACTATAGGTTTTAGTGCGCTACGCAATGATGTGTGCTGAATAAGATTAAATAGAGTATTTGTTGCAGACGGTGTACATAATGTGGCGATTTAGTATTGTTTACATAATGATTTCTGATCGCTAGAAAACTGATAATTTAATAGTTGCAGCGTTGAAAAACATTTACCTTAAGCGCAGTTTGCATGATAACATTGGTGGCATAATTGACGCCTTTGGTGCCCAATTGTAGTACTGCTGAGTAGCCACGCTCTTTGGCTTGGTTAAGGTACTCATCGATTTCCTTAAAACAAATGGGAGGGAAGAATTAAAATAAAACATTTAAAATTTCTTTGATAAGAAAAACTGGAAAAGTCGAAACCTCTAAAATTTTGACAGTTTCCCGAATTTTTTGATGGTTGAAAGCAGTGCTAGTCCGTGATAAATACAGCGGTGGAAAAATTAATATAACACATTAAACAAATCTACAAAAATATATCTCAATATCTAACAAAAACCATATAAATAAATTCATATTTCAAACTTGGAAAAAAATTTTAAAAATTCTCCAAATTGCATCTAAACTTTCAACTTTATGCAGTTTTATAGCCCATTATATTATAGTATAATAAAGTGCAAGATTGAATTGCTATAATAAAAAGTCGCATTGATTTTTTATACATTTTTTTCCACTGTCATTTTTTCTATTCAAGAATTTTTATTGAGCTTGGGGACGTTTTTAATGAAAAACTTATTGTGGAAAAGCAACAATAATTTGAAAAAATGGTAAAATTGATAGCTATTTCGGAAATCACCACATTTCCTCATCAGACTTCTTTCAGTAGGATTCGAACCGACGATCCCACTGACTCAGCCAGTTGCCAACGCACTGTGCTAAGTTCGCCTTGTAAATTATCGTTGCTTTTTCCCACTTTTTCATAAAAAAATGTCGGAACATTCTTTGTACAGAAAAAGTGCGCGAAAAAAATTGCCATATGTACTTGTGTTTGCTAAAAGAGATAAAGAGCGCTCATCTTTATCAGCGCATTTCATACCTGTTCTCTGCGCGTCAACATCGGGTGTACGAACTTTCTGTACAATGTAGAACTACCCTTTGTAGCTGGCGACAATAGCCACAAAACAATAATTACTTTCACTTCATAGTAAAAGGGAAACCATGAAAGAAAAATATCCGTAAATGTTTCGATGCATGTAAAGAAAGCATAAACAATCCAATACATCATCCATTTTACCTGAAACGAATAAATAAATAAAATCACTCATATATGTTAATCTACATAGTCTCTTTCACATTTTTTTACTCACATATTCTTTGACATTTTTGGTGCGCACAGCCTTGTACGAAGCATATGCCGGATATAGAGTACCAAAGGATAATCTGAAAGCAGGAAATATAACATTTTCAGCCCACAAACGTGGTGAAATAAAAGTGGCCAGTAACACTAAAATACAAGCCGTTGTAAATGAAACATGGGGCAACGGCCAACTCTGCACTACTTCCAAAAAACGTCCGAACAAAGTCAAATTGTGTACAACCTGCTCTGTATTTATAATATTTGCATCAGCTGCTGACGCTGCAGATTGTGTGCTCTTTTGTTTAAAATAGAACGCAGCGCCGCGGACGTTGTCCGGTGATCGCTCATCAGCGCTATTCAATGAATGGGGATATAGCAATATATTCGAGCCAGCGATAGATGGGGGACCACACTCATCGTTGTCAAGTGGTTGGCCAATAAATGTTCCTGATCTTTTGCTATTATAATAAATAATCGATTCGGGTGATGCATCCACTGAATAGCGACGATAATATCCGCTACCATCCGCTGCGAATATAGGCGTGGCGTACTCAGAATCTTGAGCTGCTGCATTCCAACGCCCATATAATGGTGGACTTTCCTGATATGGGCCATATTGTAAGCGATTTGGTTTTTTTTGAAAGAACTTTTGCTGCTGGTATGGCACCTCCCGCATCGATGACCACTCTCCTCCAGCATGATTCTTCCAATCACTCCGCCGCATTTTCTATACGCTTTATTAGCCGCTTGAATTGCGGTCGATTTGCGGTTTTATTTTATGCATATGTATGTTTTAAAACTCCAGTAAATTGGTAGACAAACTAATATGAACACCGATTAAAATTTGCCTACTGAACAGGCACAAAATATAATTTTGACTAAAGCACTTTATTATGCTCAATACGAATTTGCACAATACCAAATTCTGAACGAGTTTTGTAGTAGCTGCAGACGCTCATATTTAAAAATAGCATATAAATTTCGAGCAGAATTTCGAAACGTACATGATTTCGAATTGTAGAAGCGGTCTCTATCGCGGGCACTAAAAATATGCTCAACAAGAGTGAAAAACAAGCAACAGTTGCACTAGAAAAACATTGGCAGTTGTATCTGGCATGTCGAGATGGTTTTTTATGCGTATACGCAATGTTCGTGCTCTTGAGAGAAGGACTCGGAAACAGATCTATAAACATATACATAAGTATGTATGTACATACAATTTCAAAAGCGTTCGCATACCGAAGATTTGTTTAAAAAGGCATCAAATTAAAAGCTGTGGCTTTGTATTCTTGTTAGTCTCAGCAACATACATGATAATATTAATCCGCTCCATGCCTTCTTGAGCACCTTTTAAAAGTGCGCACAATAAAATGTCGTTGACTGTCGTTAAAAGTTTAAAAGCCACAGCTAAATTTATTAATGGACGCACATTTTGCGGGATATGTTGCACACACGATCGTACACTCAGTTAATGTACACTCATATATACATATGTACATATCCATATACTTATGAATTGTTAATGGTACATATGCACACTTGTGTTCAGAGTATGTACTTGTAGACGCCTATTCACGCATGAGTTAGAGTAAATGAAGCGAACTACTCGGACTTTTTTGGATAACGAAATTGTTGCAGTTCAGTTACCTGAAAAGTGGTATTTCTAAATATGCTTAGGTTGAAAGGAAAACAGGTAATGACGTGTCGCCAACAATTACTTAAAGTAAAAAGCGACAAAAGTGTTATTAACGAGGCCCAATAACTGTATTGTAGATTCTGTTTTTTGCTTGCTTTGTTTATAAGAAGCAATAAAGCTGTTAACAACGGCGCCATAGCAATAGCAAAGCAATGCAGGCGTCGCGTCTATGACAGTCATGCAAAAAACCGGAAGTAGTGGCAGAATGCTAATGATGACTCCAGTTTAAGTGGGTAATTTTATTTTAGATTTCTAATTACTAGCACAAATTTTTTGGGTGTTGTTGTGGGCGAATTGACATTGGAAAATGCTACTTACATGATGAGCCGCGAGAGCAGTGCACTGATCATGATGGCGACGTTTCTTTCTATAATTTCACACTTTTATTAGCACCTATCGTTGCGTTCCGTCGTCCTTCAGTCTTCCACTAGGTGCGCTGCCCCCAATCGTGTAAAGTAGACACTGAAGTTATGCACGTTCACATTAAATGAGTATGTTCGTCTGCCTAATTTGTAAACAAGTGAAATATACAAGAATAAATTAGCTTAAATATCTGCTATATAAGATGCAGGCCATTTCAATACGATATGTATGAATGTGTGTATGTACATATGTACTAGGCAAAGACGATATTATCCCGTAAATCAACTTCAATACATACATACATGCATACAAAAGTGCATTATGCACAAAAATCTTGCTAACAGCATCCAGACCGCTAAACCCAATCCATTTTTTATTTTTACTTTGTTATGCCTGAATTAATAATTCACATACGCAGTATGTACATATGTATCTCTTATATCTTTCTAATAAGTAACCTTGGTTTGCTTAATTTCATCAACTTAGCGTAGTGTGAAATCCTTGCAACCTTGCATCCTCCCAATATGTTTTAACGATTTTTCCTGCTTTTTTTTCTAGTCTTATGTTTTTGGACATATCGCTAGCCAATCACGGTGAACATATCTTTCGCCAATATTTCTTAAAAAACAATGAGTTGCCCTTATTGTAACGTATATTTACCTTTGTTAACTGACGACTGTCAGAACTTATTCACCCACCAACGCAATCCAGTCAAATCCTCGAATTCTTACAAACTATTGGCCACAGTTGCAGCAGTTTTCAGCCTTCTTATAATTAAACTATATTATCTTCATTTTTTCTTAACACCGCACTTTACTTAACTACACTTATTTCTTATTTAATTAAATACTTCCACACATCTTAGTTTTCAGCTGTTCTCTTACAGCGACAGATTTTTAATCCAAACCAGCTATGCGAGAAAAATCGTATAGAAACAAACAAGCAACAGCAAAAAATAACAGCCAGTGCTGCGGGTGCATTATTTTGCACCTTTTGGGGTAAAAAATTTGTACCACAAGATGCCTTTGTCCTTTGTTGAGAAATAAATTGATCGAGCTATTAAATGTTTAAGTCATCCTGTGGAATTTTTGCTATCATGAGTTTAATGCTAATTACATATAAATAAATAACACTATGTTTTTTTAATGAAAGTGAAGGAATTTTCTGGGATAAACTTTTGTTACGAACACATTATTTGTTATTATGATTGGCATTACTGAACTGTGTTACCGGGTGTTTTATATGTAAAAGAACTTCCATTATAAATTGTCGGATGAGCGCCGAAGACAGTGGTGGCTAAAGTTTGTTTACTTTGGTATATTTTTTATGAATATAACTTAGTCTGTTCCAATAGCAGTCCGGTTACAGGATTTAGTCAGAACTTACAGGAAAGGCTCTGTTATGCATACTTGGCATTGCATGCACTGCTATACCATTTTTACGTAGAAATCAAAAACCAACAGACTTCTACGTATGTAGTGCTGTGCGTTCGATAACCGATTACACGCGAGGCTCATTTAACAGATTTCTTATGTGACAGCTCTCAAGCCATGCCAAGTATGCATAACGGAGCCTGAAGTCGTTCCTATTGACATAAAACCTGTAAGTGGGAACACATTTGAGAGAGTAACTGAGCAACTGTTCCTAGTCAGAAGTTACAGGATTTAGTCCGGAGATTTTTTTCCTGTAAGTTCATGAAAAGTGTCAAACGATCAGCTGATTTACATGTGCAAACAAAAACAGAAAGCGGTGAAAGCAAAGAACCTTATATTTGTTATAAAATGGAAGTAAACAACGAAATATTTAAATATGTATAGATTTTATTAATTATTTAGTGATATTTCAGCCAAATCAGTGTAGTGCCAATGACATGTAAACAAACCGTCTGACGTTTTTACAGGAAATAGTGCTTTTTGCGTTCCTATGCACTTTTGCCTCTGTTCTCCTTTTACTCTCATTTGAGAGCGTAAAATTGTAGTTTGACAGTTCCACAGGTTTTAGTCCGAAGTTCAAAGGAACAGACTAACTGCATTTTAATGGATTCCGTACAAGGTTATTGGCCCTGTTACCACGCCAATGACAAAACTACCGCGCCTTAAATTATGCCTTAAAAACTTTGTTTTAACAAACTGACAATAACAATTGTTATTGTTATGATTGTTAACCCACGTCTTCACCTTCTAGAGATTATTTTAAAAAAGCTGTGTTAAGACAGAAATGTCAGGTGGGGGCCGCAAATTTTCACTGTTAAACCATATGTGTCTTGCCGAATTTCTTACCATCGCTGTTGTTGTTGTTATAGCGGCTACCAAGCCCCGCTCGGGTCAGATCATCCGTCAACGTTGTCGTCCGTTTCAGCTAAGG